GAGGGAACCTGCCCACACAGGTGCATGTGCATGACATATGACACTTGGGGAAGCTTCCTGAGTCAGCACATGATGCCCCGTGCTCATGTGGTGACCGGCAATGCTTCACATGGTGGCCTGCCCCAGGTCTTGGTATGAGGACTGCTCGGACCGCTTGGCTTGCCAGCCAACTCCCTGCCGGCAAGAAGTCATCAGCCGTGTGGTAGTGTTTGTTACGCAGCACATCCCAGCACGTGGTGATAGAGACACATCCCCTCTGGTTCCCACTGAGATGGAGGAATAGTCACTATCCATTCTGAGGTTGGGGGAGGTGCCATCATCAAGTCAGGCCAGAGGGCTGAGAAACAAGAACTTTCTGGAAGAACGGTAAGTCAGGCTTCCGGGGAGCAGCAGAAGAGGAGCCTCCACTGGCTCCCACCCTGGCCTGGCACATGCTGTCCTCTGCTGTCCCCTATGGAGGCAGCTCAGAGACAGCCCTTGCTTGCAGGAGCCTGTGCACGGGCAGACACTGGGCCCAGCTGCACCAAGGATGATGCTCTGCCCCTCCTGGTGGAGCCAACGTGACCTCAGCCTCCCTGAGGCCAGCAGACAGCTTGGGAGAGGAACATGCTTCCAGGTGACACTGGTCCAAGCAGAGGAAACACCGCGACAGCCCGTTCAGCAAACACTAGTACAGAACCCGCTGGCCAGCGAGCCTTCAGGAGGGACCTTACATCTCAGATATTTTCATTATGGACAAGAGAGCATAAATAGCACATGAGCTAAGCACTCACTCCCAGGCTGCTGAGAAGAAAAATGAGATAAAGCCCGCGGCCCAAGGAAGCAGGAGGAAGATGTGGGGAAAAAATGAGAGAAGTGGTCAGTTTGGCAAACAGGAAAACGGTAGAACTTAGAATCCATCAAGCTAAGACCTAACGGCCCCTGGGAGTTGCCTGTCGAGGAATCTCGTGACCTGATTTTTCTGACCTGGGGGCTGTGAGGAAAGTGGTCCTTGCTCTGCCGGGACCAGCCCTGGGGCCGGAGGACCACAGTCCAGTCTGTCCCTTATAGCCAGGCAACCCCTCAGTGCCTCGCTCAGCCCCATACCCGTCACCTCGGGCAGTGACAGGTTCTACAAACGTCATTCCTAGTCGGACAGCGTTCGTTGTTGCTGCTGTATGTTGCTGGGAGAAACGTCGTGGACCTTCCCCTGACACTGCTTCGCTGGCCAGGAGCGCTCTGCTCCACTCGGTGATGCTGGGAGAGGGCAGACAGTGGGCACCATTTTTACCAAGAAGGGTTGGCAGGAAGCGGGGCTCCCAAGATGCTGCTGCAGGGGGTCAAGGGCCTGCGCTGGCCAAAGGGGTCGTTTCTCATGGCCAAGTGGTCTCCCAGTGATGGGCAGAGAGCCGGAGGCTCTGTCTGAGCATATGGGTGTCTGAGGGCCGCAGTGGGGCTGTGGAGCAGGAGGGTTCCCTGTGCACCCGCATCCAGGGCCAGTTGGGGTGGGGGTACGGTGGGGGGCTGGTGCCCAAGAGTGCCCGCGACATCCATGCCAAGGTGAGTCCTGGGACCCCGTCTTCTCTGTTCTGTCCAGGAGAGCTGACCATAGACGTCTCAAGATGTCCGTAGGCTACCCAGCAGCTCCAAAAGCACAGGGACCCCCACACCAAAGGAAAAAGGTCCCTTCTCTCCCTCCCAACACCAAGAACGGAACTTGCTCGGTAAGCACCACTCCCTCCTCCCCCTTCAGGAGAAAGCAGGGGTCTCTCTCCGGCATTTTGGGGGCAACACTGGCTGGGGAACCCCGTGTCTGCTGTGGCTCCTCTCCTAGCTGAGCAAGTGGCCTGAGCACCGCCATCCTTTGCCTGTGTCCAGCTCAAGGGCCTTGAGCGGAGAGACCAGCAGCTGCCCGGAGCGCAGGGAAAGTGTTTAGATGAAACAAAAACAAGACTGTCACGTATTAATGACGACTGTAAAACAGAACTTAGCCTTGTAATAATATTTTGGTTCTGTTTCCACTATGCGCACCTAGAAAAATGTGAGCGCGACCTCAGCCCAGTGAGCGTCGCATTCCAGGAGCCTCCCTGCTGTCATTCAAGACCCGACCCCAAGCGCCCCAAACTCCAAAGGCCGCTGGAGTCTGGAAGGAGGTGGGAGGCATCCGGGATGTTAACCGGGTGTCAGTAAGAGTGATAAGTGGGTGCCAGGATCTTGACCGAGTATCTCAGAACCCTGTCGGCTCCACACAGGAGTGTCATTACTGCTGCATGCTACAGACAAGGAAACTGAGGCACAGGAGCCTGGCGGCCGGCCCTGTCGCCCCCACCTCCTAGTGCAGTCTCTCCCATGTGGCAATGACACAGGTCCTGTATGAGCCACGGCCAGATCATGACTGGCCCAGGGGAGACCCGGTCCCTCCCAAGGAGCCCTTCCTGCCTGAGCGAGGTGGCTGTGATCTTGGTCTGTGTCCCCGAGGCTATGGGCTGTGGTTG